TCGGGCCGCCTGAGGGTGTTCCCTGCACCGGGCGGGTTGTGGGTGGCCCTGGCGAGCTGCTCGCTCATCACCAAAGCACCCCGGCCACATCAGGACCTGAGGATTTAACAAAATAAAGCAAACACACCTGCGCAGCGTATCGCACCTGCTGCACGTCTGGGTGAGGAGACCCTGCTGACGAGCTACGAGGAGCCCCGCCATGAAGCCAGGCTGCCCGGATCAGCAAGGCCGTGTTCCCGCACCCCAGGCTCGATGAATCCCCACACGCCCTACTAAACCAGGTACTGATCCAAGAGCGCGTTGGTGCTTATTGTATGCACTGTCAAAACAAACACCCTCCTCCTCAGAAGTCAGGAGAGAGGCCTCGTTTTTGTCATCACCTCTCTGATTTACTGCCCAAAATAGGTATCCTTGAGGCACAGTAAGCCTAGCACAACTCCTGCCTTGCTTTGCTCCCCTGAGCTCCCAGCTGTGACGAATTCTCCACAGAAAAGCTCACACAGGTCAGATAGATGAGTATTTTGCAATGGAGAATGGCAAATCACTAGATATAACTGTTTGTGCAAACACCCCAAAAGCATTGCATTTAAACGAGTTGTTTTCAGTCTGTGCTTCACAGGTCTAGGGAAGAAAAAACCTGAGTGTTAAATGCATTATTCAGGGATCTATGCTGTCACTGTACAGTTCTGAACAGCTGAAAAAAAAACCCAACACCATTAACTGAACATAAAGGCCAGCTCTGCAACTCCACAAGCCCCAAAAATTTCCACCTACCTATTCTTTCTTCCCCATCTAATCTCAAGAGCAGACTGATTTCTATTCCTATGCTTGGCAGCCTGCAAAATGAATGCACAATACTCGTCTCAGGAGAGTAAACCAGACTATTTCACTTTGATGGCATTTATCACATGCTTGGTCCAAGCATAAAGGATGATGGTCCAGGTATAGCAGCAGGTCACTGTAGCGCTTGTGCAGCATAGTGGAGGAAGTATCTGCTTATGTTTAAAGTGATCAAACTTGGGAGAAAATTACTTTTTTAAAATTTAAAAAATACAAATGGTATGGTTCTAGAGGTTACAGCAAAGTTAACAGGGCTCATGGTCACTGAACAATCAATGCAACAGCAGGTCTTGTCAAGAGAAATGCAATTGTAGAGTAATAGATGTAAACTGAAAATGAACCTGCTTCAGAAAAACACTGATGTTCCTAACACTAGTATTTTCATTCTGCCAACGTTGACATACTCTTTCTCTTCTGAAAGAATCCTGTTGAATTTCTATTTTTTTTTTAAGGATTTTACCTGAAAGCCACAGCAAGGCAGATTTATTGTACATAAGATTATAGTTTGTCACACCCCATGGAGCTCACCGCTGCCGTGTAAATAAACCCATCTTTTCCTTTCCCCAGCCCTCATTTTACTAGACCGCCTTCCCACCCACATATTTACAAGCAGTACCCTCTACTTGTCTGAGTAAAGCTTAGACTAAAAGCCATTGAAGCCCTGGAGACCTTAATGACCCCATAATGGCTCTCCTGGACTACTCTGCTACAGTCTCATACCCTCAGGAATATGTACATTTTCAAATGAGACATAGGTGACCAGTGTAACTTTTTCTAACACAGAAAAACTGTGTTCATTTTATAGTTTTCTTAGAAAAATGTAACATTTCAAGTTCTGTTAAGATAAGCAGCTGAAGGCAAAAGGACATTTCAAGGCACATAGTATCTATAACCTACATTCAACAGCCATTTTAAGTATCCTGAAGGACATTCAACTTGCATAAAAGCGTCAGTGAATAAAACTCAAGACTAGATACTGGGAGCACATGCAGCTCCCTGGCCCAGTAAGAGCATTTTATGTCAACCCAAACCACCACAGCTAGCACAGGGAGTTATGGTCATATATCACAGTTAAATTAACACCATCAAAAACAGCCGTCAGGAACCTCCAGATGTTTCCTGGAAATGTATCTGCATAAAAGCAGGCTAAACTGTACTGTTTAAGGGCAGTCCATAAGCCTTTTAAAGATAGCTTGCCCAGGAATATTTTGAGTGGTTCCCTTACTTACAGTGGAGAGGATGCACAATACAACACTTGGAAGACGGCAGAAGGTGCATCCACTCACACATACAGAGGAGGGATTTAGGGGAAAGGAGGAAAGGAGAGTACTGGGATGACAAAGAGTCACAGTGCTTAACACGACATCTTCAAGATCTTCTGGACTTACTGCAGGAACCCATCTGCCTAACCTTCAGGGAGGCAAAAAATGAAAAATCAGATCCTCTCCCATTTGCTTAGTAGCAGGTCTTGCTCCATCAGAACAGACATGGGAAGACTGGAAGGCTGGACTGCGCGAGGGAAGCGTCCATTCTGTGTGGCAGAGAGGGCCTCAGTACGGCTGCTGGGCTGTCTTGCTTGAGTCAGGCCACTGCGGAGGGACATCCTGCTGATCAATCGGCTCATAGGTGCTGCGATCCTGGCCTGCACGGGTGAGACCTGAATGGAGATGGAAAAGAACACGCTTGGGAAAAACCAAAAAGCACGAGAACTGAATCCTCCTGAAGAAACCAACAGCACAGGAGCACACTACATTAGCTGCTTTACCAGCTCCCCAGCACCTGTGTTCTGTGATCCTCACTACACAGGCAGGAGGTAAGAAAACTCATTCTTCCAACAAAGGCAAAGTCACTGAGATGCATTTGAACATGCCTCTTCATTCCCCGAGAGCTGCTCTCTTAGTAGCCGCATGGCTGTGTGGAAAGCAAGACCCACAATACTACACAGCAGCGTAACAGGCTCCTGTAATAGAATATTTCAGCAAGATCAAGTTTATGAGATCTAGAGGAAAAATGAACAGACAAAACCAAAAGCAGCAGGAACCATGGCTAGCTGACAGCATAGATTTAAGAGCATGATTCATCCATGAACCACTGTTCCCAACAACACAGCTATGCCTCGAGAGTGCCACACCACGGCACTAAATTTGAATCCAGCAGTGCTGCCAATTGTACTGTGAACAATTTGCCTGTGGTACAAGACTGGTACAAAATCATGCTACTGTCCAGGGGACGAGCAGAGAAAGAGGAGAGACAGACAGACAGAGAATGAGCATGAGGCAGCTCTTTATCTATAGGTCAACCAACTGGCATGGCTAGGAAGCAATCTGAATCAAAGGTGGACACAAAACCATACAAGAGGTTTGTTCTATGCAGAAAGGATGGTGCCAAGCAACAAAAAGGGATTTTGCATGGAAAGAAAACAAGACAGAGAAGACCAGAAAAAATTGAAACACTATTAGATTCAAAAGGAAAATGCCAGACAGCAGGAAAATGAGAGAGGAAATTTGTCAACCACATCTGACAAAACAACAGCACACAGTTTGTACTGAAAATATTGTCAGAAAGACAGGTCAGGAGAGGATATGAAACTACAAGGTGTCTCAATTCCAACCTGTGCCTGAGAGAAGACTCTCAGACAGTATCATGCCTGGGTTGGGACGGTGTGGTTGAAAAGGAATGCTCCCAAATTCCAAGCAAAGGGATGAACTCACTGATACCTACACTTTCCATGGAATACAAATGTCAAACCTCAGTTACAAGCACAGTGAGCAGCTCACAAAAATTGGCAGAAACATGGCCCACAGCAAAGCACTGCAAATTGACTCACAAGCCTCCTGACCCAGTTAAGACAGCTGTGTCCAGCACTTGCACAAGCAGCTGATGGAGAAGACATCCACATTCCACTAGCAGAGAGATGCAAAGAGCATATAGTGCCCCAAACCGTGGGTTCCTTCCATGGCCTCTCCTCTGCAGGTATCCACCTCCTTTCACAGGAAGTGTTTTCTTCTTTGCTAGCACCCAAGCAGCACAAGTGACAGCTTTCAAATATTGTAATACAGTTATACCACCTTTTGTGCTGCACAGCCTTCTTAGGAAGGCAAAAAGATAATTGTGCCAGGCTGCTGGCTTTGCCAGGGTTTGCCAGCAAACAATCCCTGGCAGCTGCCCTGGCATGAACTAGCACCAGGCATGCCTGGCAAAGAAGCTGACTGAGACCCAGAACATCCAGCCACAGCCCCTTCTCTCTGGCAAGGCTGCCACACCATCACTAGCTAGTACAATCAGGAGAAAAATGAGTGCCTCCAGGCAAAGTCCCATGAGGTAAACACCAGTCCCACTTTCCAGGTGAGGAAATGGAAGCCCAAAGCAATAAAGGCAACTAGGACATGTGAGGAGGCCCAGAGAAAGCATGGAGTTAGAAATCCAGATTCTCTCCCTCTCATGCGTAATCCAGCTAGAGGGGATGCTGCCTCTACTTTCCCCCAGAAGGAAAAGAAAGGGTTGGCAAAGAGAGGACACCCAAAGGCTTCCAACAGCACACACAAATGCAGGAGGAAGAAGAGAGGAAAAGCCTCTCGGTCATATTGAGTAAGAGACAGCAGTGGTATCAATACCATTGTAGGCAAAATGGCTGTCGGACGAGGACTCCAGGTCTGCAAAGGAAGAGAGGAAGAACATAAATTTAAGGCCTAAGACACACCAGAACCACACAATGGGAGAACGGACATGAGCAAGAGAGAGCAAGCACCCCCCTCCCTGGAGAGGGGCACAGAACCCAGCTGCACAGAGCACAGGCTGAAGGGTCCAAAGCGCAAGGTGGTCTCCCTAACACCAGAGGAGGTGGCCGACGCCGACATGGAGGCAGAGGAAGCATCCTACCTATGTTAAAGGTGTACTCTCCTCCACGCTCCCGATACATTCGATACACCAAATAGCAGGACATAGGTTTGAGCAGGAGGCTGAAGATGGCCATGCCTATACTGAAACGCTCCACGTCAGGGAGATGCTGGTTTGTAGGGTAGAAGACAGAGATGTGAATGATGTCTGTGAGGACTGTGAGCAGCAGGCCAGTCAGGAACTGGAAACAAAGAGAGAATGGGACATGAACCGAATAGGGGATTAACCACTACGAGTAACAGTCAGTTACAGCCTCTATTTCCTGCGAGATCTGTGTTCACACAATCATGCCTTCACCCCAGTATCACACATTGCTAACCCTTGACACTGCCCCAGGTAAACAGAGATTCCTAAATGCATGATCTTGTATTTCGTCTATTTTCTTCACATCTGTCAGACACCTTCTTAGGATATTTCTTTAATGCTCAGAGAAGGGTTTTATAAAGCCCCTCCAACTCAAGCATATTAAACGCTTTGAGTCCTCCTCTGGCATTACAAGCCACAACAGCAGGTAAAAAGAAGTAAGAATCAAGTATGCCTCACCTCCGAGAAGCAAAATAAGTGATGGTGAATGCTTCTCATCATGGTTTACAGTGTTTAGAGATTTACACGCTCTCTTAAATATAAACAAAATAACCCAAACAGGGAATTTGACTTGTTCACTGCTGTATTGGGAACAGCTGAAAATCATCACTGACTCAAAGAAGCTGTCTCTGCCCTCCACCCTCTCCCTGAGCAGCCTGCTGGAGGCCAACACCCTCACACTCACCATCATGATGGCATCAAGGGAATCTCGCTGCACAATGGCCCAGATCCCCACTGCAAGGACACTGAAATTTCCCCAGGCATAGGAGGCTGGAAGCATGTAATTCATGCATCCCCTGCCAAACAAGACAACAAAAAATACCCAGCCCACATTCACAATAAGCTTGCAACAGTTTGTTTGCATTCCCTTACAAACACCTCCCTCTTGGACTTAGGATCTTCTTGCACAGAGACAGGCACAAACAAGGAGTGCCGATTCCCTGAGAACATCCCATTCCTAGTTTGAAGAAATACCCTCTTTTCCCCCAGGCCAGTTAGCAATCACTCACCACACTGTGAGCAGCCAATGTACCAGAATGATGGCCTATGAAAAAAAAAAACAGAGAGGAAGACAGGTCAGCAAGTTGGGAGAACTCTGGGAGGATCGATGTGAAATGACACTATCTTGTTTCTGAGGGATGGGTGGAAGAGTGCCCTGGACCCATGAACCAGTGCAGAAAGCTGGTGTAGCACCTGGGACAGTGAAGACACAAAAACATTTTTCTCTGCTTTTGTTGCTGAGTATTTCCTCTGGTGCTACACTGTAGTCATTCATTATTGTTGTCATCTCTTTCAACAGTTGATTCAGGGCCCACTTAGTCTTTTCTAAATGGGTTATTGATTTTGGAACTCCAGAAGAGTTTGTACAGAAAGCCAGGCAACCTGATTCACACTATGCTAGCACAATTTACACATAACCAATCTGGCACCCCATGACCAGGAAGTCCATGGATAATCATGCCTGCAGCTCCCAGCAATTTCACCCCAGTCCTCAGTAAATCCTCCTTTGACCTCCTTCCAATCTGTCCAGAGCAGTGGTTTGACCTCACTGCAATATTAACAGACCTGAAGGCATCTTCTAGGAGTCTGAGAACCCGATCCTGCCATAGTACACAGCTCTTTTCACTCCCAGTGAAGCCACCAGGGCCCAAATGCTGGCAGTGCCCTAAGTAGCAGCGAGATAATGCTGTCACAGATTCTGTACTTTGCAAATGTCCTTAATGGTCCTGATCCTAGTGATCCCCCAAGGGGACAGATCCAAGAAGAAAGCATCTTACTGCAACCAGTGACACAAGGATTCTCTTCACCAGCACTTGACATTTCTGTAACCAAGGAGACATACTCTACATGTTTATTAAGACAGCAAATGGGAACAAGAACATACCAATCCAGTCTTTTTCTATACCTATAACCATGCGCTCACTCACTTTTGAGCCCGCTGGCCAATCTCAACAAAGATCACTCATATTCACTCTAAACACTTGTGGAAAAAAAAAAAAAAAAAAAAAAAAAAAAAAAAAAAAAAGGGGA